AATAAAATGTTTAATGCGGTTTGTATGTACTAATATTGTTTTTCGTCCTTTTTTAAATTCGTCCTTTGTGTAATTAACATTTGATTTTTTCCCGATTATTACGTACGGTCCTGTCCATAGCGCGTCGAGTTTTTTCGACCGTCCTCGTCTTAGTGTTTTGACATATAATAATACTTTATCTCCTGCTTTAAATGTGCTTACGTGGGCCTTTTTGTCGTATTGTTTAGCTTTAATAGTAGTATAGCTAGGCGGGTTCTAACCCAAGAGCAATGAGGGGGGGTGCGGGGAAAGAGGGAAAGAAGGGGTATCGGATTATGCTGCGTCAGCACTTTTGGAGGGGAGGGAGGTATCAGATTATGCTGCGTCAGCACTTTTGAAGGGGGGGGGGTATTGGATTACGCTGCGTCAGCACTTTTGGAGGGGAGGGGGGTATCAGATTACGCTGCGTCAACACTTTGGAGGGGTATTGGATTACGCTGCGTCAGCACTTTGGAGGAGTTATCGGATTACAGCTCTTTGAGGGGAAGAGGTATCAGCACATATTTTATAGATTACGTCATCACTTTTTAGAATTTGCAGGCGCCATTTTGCGTCGTCAGCACTTTCAGCACCATTTTGCGTTGTTACAAGAATGATATTATCACTATTTTTAGCAGCAGTCACGTCAGCATTTTTTTGACACTATTGTTGCCAGATTTCAATGTTTTAATCAGCACTTTTAATAGTGCCGTGTGCAAAAGCCCATAGCAACAGGCAGCCACGTCAACATTTTGGGCGCCATTGTTGCCAGATTTCAATGTTTTAATCAGCATTGTCAGCATTTTTAATTAGTGTCGTGTGCAAAAAGCGGGTATAAAAAGCTCGCAAAAATACAAATACAAATTGTCACAGTTATCTGAAATCATTTGGACAATCACTACTTTGCTGCAACGCCTCACCTGAATTATAACAACGATGTTTTGTACTGTACAGCAGACAACTGTACAGCAGACAACTGTGAGTAATCTGACCAACAAACAGCAAGGTGTGGAGACCTTCGCAAAGAAGCGGAAATATTCGCCCAACGAGTAAGTTGGCTCTCTTACTATTTGCACTTTTAAACTCACCGCCATTGTTACACTTTGAACTCACGCAAGTTTTTTTCCACAGAAATGGAAGTAATTCGCCAAGCGTCGATAGAAGCATGATCACACCTCCCAGAATTTTGGCTAGAAGATACCCGTTGACAAAAACCAGTCACAAATATCTCGACATCGGAATCAACGTTTCAACGCCGAGCCGTGTGGAAATCGCTCTCGGTGACAACCATGGCAAGGAGTTATGTCTATCATACGGCGTATGGAAAGAACTCGTGAATCAACGGGGCATCATCGCCAGCTTCTTTAAGAATGATGTGGACGAAGCACCACCTCAGACCGTTGGACACTGCACGTTAAGTTTTGGAAAAATTAACAACCTAAAAGTAATGCGCCTAGCAACATCAGCGTTATGTTTAATCATGTCAAGCCAAACCGTGTGTAATATGTTTGCACTCGAATATTGTGTAGACTGCATCAATCATTCGTTGAACAACGTTACCGGTATGGTTGATGTCAAGTTCGCGCACTTTTCAGAAATCGTGAGCGGTGTGAAGGATCCCATCGCAGCGATACGTGACGGCAAATTATTTAATAAGAACGATATAATCGATTGCGAACTGTTAGCACAAATCTTTAGATTGCGATAATTTTTAGCGTATGCTTTATTGTTTCATTGTCATAATATATTTTAAGTGTATCTGTTTAATAAATATTATTCCAATTATAATTTAAAATTATTTTGTATTATCCCGACTGTGTCTTTCCCATCCTATCCACTATACTGACCTATCCTACAGCGCGCGAGTCAAGTTACACCGTAGTAATGAGGGAACCGTTTAAATAAATATACAATTTGAAAAGTTTTATTAAAATAAACTTATTTATATTAAATAAAATAATAATAAATTAATAAAACTAAGGCTATTATAATTAATAAATTATTAAATTTGAGATTACAATGTTGAACAATATAGAAGTTATGTTACACTGACCTACCTTACATGAGATAAGCGAGCGTGTTAGGTTACCGCTGAGAATGAAAGAAAGGAAGGAGTAAACGAGTGATTATATTTTAAATTATTTTTTTTTATTATCCTGACTCCCCATACACTACGAAAAAGTTTAGAGTATCCTACAATTTTTAGATAATTTTAATTAACTTTACGCACTAACATTGTAAATATATGTAATTTTTAAATTATTTTCCTTAAACTTTATCCAAATACGTACATTTACAAATAAGTATCGATATTTTAAATAAAATAATTGTATCTGTGAGAAAAATATAATTTTATTGTAAAAATTATAAGGTATTCCAAACTTTTGAGCGGTAGTGTATATCGTTCCTATGCCTTGACATATCTTACTGCGTGACCATTTACCGCTCGGGATAGGAGAAGGAAAGAAATGAGGGGACAATAAGAATAAGAATATTAAAAGTTTATAATATTAATAATTTATTTTTCTAACAATGTATATTGTATATATAGTAATATATATAGTAATAATACATGTTCTCTATATGCTAACATTACACAGGAATAAAAATATGTAAATTTAAGTGTAAGACATAATAAATCATTTAATAAAAAAATATTGAAATAATAAATTATAAAAATATAATAGAAAACATTATAATATAAAAAATCTGCTGGATATTATCATCTGTAACAAAGAAAATAAAAAATTATTAATAAAACGATTTCTATAAATAAAAGAAAAAAAACTGTAATACCTACAATTAAATGGAGAAGTCTGTAGATAACACAGCCATTACAGCACTCAATACATCGTTCGTGCTGATTGTATCTTGCTCCATCTGCTGGAACAGTGTGATCATGACATTTATTTGTGTCATCACCGTTGCCAAGTTATTCCTGACATCAGCTCTGGAAACAAATCATAAAATACACAATTAAAAAATGAATTTATAAGTTATAAGAATTGTACATGTGTATGAGTGACATAAAATGAGTATGTAATAAGAAAGTTACTTACATTGAAAGTATTATTGCCCCATGCTCATTTCCTTCTATGTTGTACGTGATCCGGAAGGAATCCGGAACATTTTGCTGCATCTCCTGCACCGATGTTTGAAAACGATGCATCACGTCCGTCAATGATCTAGCCCTTTCAGCTACAACTGTAGCCAATGCCAAAATTTGACCGATTTCGACGTTGTAGAATTCCATTTTTCAAACTCTCTTGATTCACTCACAAACTGTACGTGGAGACTTGTGACGGTCCTAGCCTCCAACGCATTTTTATACCCACATCTTTAACATGTGTTACAAATCTATGTGTCCATCCTACGGGGGTTATCTTTTCCAATCTCAGCATAAAATAAAAGATATAGTTAAATATAACGCAGAGAGATACTTTTAATGTCTAACGTAATCTCAAAATGTAACATAATATTAATTCTTTTGAGAAGGAATATAACACATTGCATGTATTGCAATCTATATGGTACTCTACGGGGAGTTATATTTTCAAACTCAGCATAAAATAACAAAGGCATACACTCTTAATTTCTCACGCAATCTCGAAATGTAATTCTTCTCTCTCGAAGAACATTCTAGAGGAATATTCCATCATATGTAATTTGATAGATGTCCCAAAGATGTACGATAGACGTACGAGAGACATTCGATAGACGTACGAACGACATACAAGAGATGTTCGATAGACGTTCGAAAGACGTTCAATAGACGTTCAATAGACGTTCGATAGACGTACGAGAAACGTACAAGAGATGTTCGATAGACGTTCGATAGACGTTCGATAGACGTTCAATAGACGTTCGATAGACGTTCGACAGACGTTGAAAGACGTTCGATAGACGTTCAAGAGATGTTCGATAGACGTTCGATAGACGTACGAGAGACGTACGAGAGATGTTCGATAAACGTTCGATAGACGTACGAGAGATGTTCAATAGATGTTCGATAGACGTACGAGAGACGTTCGATAGATGTTGAAAGGCGTTCGATAGACGTTTGATAGATGTTGAAAGACGTTCGATAGACGTACGAGAGACGTACAAGAGACGTTCGATAAACGTTCGATAAACGTTCGATAGACGTTCAATAGATGTTGAAAGACGTTTGATAGACGTACGAGAGACGTTCGATAGATGTTCAATAAATGTCTGAAAGATGTTTCGATAGATATTCTTACAATTAATAATTTATTATGTCTCGTGAGATAAGCGACAGATGATATTACATATCACATAAATGTTCTTACGTATAATCTATTATATGTCGCGGGATAAGCGATAGATCATGTTACACGGAGGATCATGTAACGGGTAAAAGACGAAATAAAAGTCGTACGAATGCAATATACATCATTTTATTAACATAAATCATAGTTGTTTTACATGTTTGTTACGCTCAAACCACCACTTGTACAATTTGCAAACATTCTGCATAGCGCAATGTCTCGTGTGATATCCACAACGCAAGGTTCCGATTACATCTAAATTATTCAGACGCGTAATATCCTCATAATCCACATCGATCGTTTCGATCTCTACATCATCTTCCAAAATTTCACACAACCACTTCTTCTCGAGTCCTTTTACATATATCAGAGGCGGTTCCGTACCAATGACTCTGTTGATAAGGCTTTTCACCTGATTATACGAAACGTGTCCATCTTCCCATCGAAAGCTGTGATGGTGTATTCGTAACCAACACACCAACGATTTTTCCGATTTTGTCAACAAATTCCACGGGTTCACGAAATACGTAATGAGATAACGTTTCACCATCTCGAAGTATCGCTGCTTCTTTCACAATAAAAATGTTGTTGAACGCGTAACCTTGTAAGTCGACGAAAATTGGTACATCAGACATCGTTGTCAATCATCGGAAAACTAACGTTCCCATTCGCACACGACAAATTTATAACTTTTTATACGAGTCTGCGCACAACGTTATTTAACGGATTATATTCAACCATCCGATCGTGTATAATGAGACAATAGGCGGTGGTGTTGACCGGTATATTTTCTTTACAATCAAATTCTATTCGCACGTCAACGGTGGCGCTCTTGACAGAGTCGTTTTGTCGCAAACAATCTATGACTATGAACGGACCGGCTTTCAAGAATTCATCGATATCCAAATACGTATTATCGAATCCGTAATAAGCTTTGCGGAAACGCGCATACATGTTGTACAGTATAGCGTATCGATTCCTGTCGAAATCCAAGTTTATGTCATCGTACGGATAAAAATCTGAATTCAGATGCAGTCTCACATTGGTGAGTTTACAAACATCAAATTGAGCAGTGTTTTCAGAGAGCACATTTTTTCGACCGGTTTGGAGAGCAAAGATTACATATCGCGGTTTTTCCAATTGTGTCGCGGCTTTGACTGCCCAGGAATGCTTGGTTGTGTTTTGCAACATGGGAAATTCATACAGATCCCACGAACGAAAACACATACTCAAATATCTTCCGCTTTCCAAAGTTCGAAGAAGAGACAGCTTGTTGACTTCGCTCAGAACTACGTGTGGCATTCGCCACTGTATCTTGAGTAGTTCAATTATTGGATTCGTACCAACTCGTGCGATTAGACAATTGTTATCGTTGCGCGAGCGTATCAATACAAGTTCGTGACGCGCGTTGATTACAATCCGCTTGTAATCCTCGCAGAATCCCAAAAAAGTATTGAGTGGAATGCAAAAATTAAAGTATCCATCGATCAACGGATATCCATTCGGATTCCACGATGCGTATTTCAGCGTCTTGCTCTTCTCCGTCGTCAGCGATATATAGTTTTTGATCGTGCTCGTTATTCCAACGTTTCTGTTACGATCAATTTCAACTCCATCGAGCTCGTGAGCATCGCATTTCATCAAACATGAACGCGACACAATTATTTCCCATTATACACACGTTATCTCTAGCCTCATCAGTAAAATTCGTAACGAGTTTTCCTTCAATGTAAAGAAAACTCTCACACGGCAACGTGTACAAATCCTGTTGCTGTATAGGTATTCGTATCTCATCGCTGTATCCCAACGTCGTGTTAGCGTACGGATTGTACGTGTGCATCTCATATTTCACGATGCGTTCGTCAAAAACAGGCTCGTCAGCAATGTTGAGTATATCCATCTCTTTAAGCGTTTCTCACAGCAATCCTAATGATTTTAAAAAGTTTCCACTTGATGTGCTCAGCTTCTTAATTGGCGATTTTTTCTCAATTTTCGTTGTTTTCTCAATCACTCGCTGTTCTCTCTCGTTCAACACGAGCATTTTCTCGCACCACGTCGTCGCAAGTGCAGTCTGATGGTAATTTCCTCTCCGCGAAAGTCAATCAATCATCCTTTTTGATCCACCACACGTAGTGTAATATCAGTAACGCTCCTTGCGATGACCGGAAGGTAAATGATTTGCGCCGGCGTTTCCGAGACTTTATATCCCGGAGGCACGTTCGGTGAAAATTCGTGTATCGTGTGCACAGATTTGTCGTTGGCGTACGCACCCGCGGTAATGCTGCATTCTACTCTTATAATGTTTACATTGACAATGTTTACCGAGGAATCTGATTCATACCACCTTCTTGGTTCCAGTATACGAGCTGTCGAAAATCCCAACAATGGTCCAATGGTATTTGGTTTAGAGAAATTTATCCGAAAAGCGCACTTGATTTCACTCTTCATAGTATTAACGTTGGGACGAAGTGACATAGTGAATAGTTCAATAGTGACAAGTGACGAAGTGAATAATTATCATCACTTTTTTCTCGTTTTTGTAAAATTGCACGTTTCAGATATGCATCGATGGCGTCCATTTCGTACGATCCTTCGGGAATTGTAATTTCCTCATCATTGTCGTCAAAGTAAAATCTGTTGTTTGTCAACGTCACGTTGGGTATCGTGTTGTAGGTCTCCAATGTAATTAAGCCTGTAACAGCACGCGCTGTTACTAAGCGCCACACGGGCTTCAAGTGTACACCCCCCATTACGGGCCGCATTCCGATCCCCTAACTCGAGAGTAGTAACTCGAGAAGGGGTAGCTCCGAGTAGGGTAGCACCCCAAGTGGGGGTAGCGCGACCGGTATAAAAGCCGGCTCGCGGAATAGACCGATACCATTCCCCCGAGTACGACTCGGACAAGCCTCAGGGCGCACTCTAAAGCTCCGGTCGTTCTCGCTCCCATCCCGATAGTCGTTCTAGGGGCAGGGCGTTCCCTGCTTCGGTCGGGTGTTCCCGGCGTTCGACTTCCGACTTTCCGTCGTTCTAGGGGCAGGGCGTTCTCTGCCTCGGTCGGGTGTTCCCGGCGTTCGACTTCCGACCTCTCGTCGTTCTAGGAGCAGGGCGTTCTCTGTTTCGGTCGGGGTGTTCCCGGCGTTCGACTTTCGACTTCCCGTCGTTCTAGGGGCAGAGCGTTC